CCCCAAAACCCCAAAACCCCAAAACCCCGAGCTCAAAGATTGCCTTCAAATTGCAAATATTTGATTATGAAATTAACAATTATAAAGACTTATTTGTATATATATGGAAATATTACTGTTTAGAGTAAATAATTATAGCATTTCATAACCTTGTAGACTCATCTATAATTTCAATTTCATCTTCAGTGCAATATAGTCCAAGGAAGTTTCTGATCAGGCACATCTAAGATATATTTAACATTAAAATCTATATTTACTTATTTGATGCATTTATTCTCGATTCCAGTCTCAGTTAGTTTTATAGCTGGAATATTTCGAAACTCAATCATGATTTTGTAATGTAAAGTATAGACATTTATTCCACTATGCCCCTTTTTATAGCCTTTTACATCTACTATATCATGCATTGAGTACTTTTTGACATTCCTCAAACAGAATAAACTAGTTTTCCACAGCTGCAACTCTTGCTTTTGTCTGTCAAATATAATTGATTCAATCTTTCCTGCAAATAGGAAAGTGAAGGATAGTAGAAACATCAAAACAACCACTAGGTATTACCACCAAAAACTAAAGAAATGATAAAAAGTTTCAATTAATTATTTACCCTTATTTGGGACCTCTGTTTAAAACTCCAAAGTAGCCAAGAGCCAAAGTATAAACTAGATAAATGGATGCTATAAATATCAAAGCTCCCACAAACCAAATGTGATAAGGCACTTTTCTAAATATGATTCTATTATTGGTCCTTTCACGAAGATTAATATGATTTAAATCAACCATATCCTCTTCTTATCTAATAATGACTTGATTGTTTACATGCCCAACACCATCCTCATCAGATTAAGTATTTTGACGGCTGCTATCTCTAAGACTCCCCATTGGAATATTAGAAGTTGAATTACCTGAGGGTGTCGTACCTCTACTTTCTATATCAGATAACTGGACTTCATAGTTTCGCTTTTAGTTTTATTGATGAAACTTTTATTTTTATTATGATGAAGCTCTCTAAGCCTCCTATTATTACTATTGTTTTTTCTTTTATTACTATTAATGCACTGCTGTGATTACTCCTGCTCTGCCGAATTTCATTTTCAAATTTATAATTATTCTAAATTTGATAGTTTAATCTTATTAATTGGGGTTTTGGGGTTTTGGGGTTTTGGGG